CCCCTGGGAAGGCGGAGCTCTTGTTTTCCCTGCAAGGCGGTGGTCAGGGGTGGGGCTTTGGGCCTCCGTCCATCCATCCACCTTTCATTCATTCGTTCACCCATTTGTCCACCCACTCACCCATCCATTCGTCCATTCATGCATTTATCCATTCATTCATTTACATCTACTGTGTGCTCTGCCTGCCTGGCAGGACCTCAGGTGGGCAGAGAAAGGACACAGGCCTGCATCTTGGAGAGTTCTGACGAGTTTTTAATTTCCCTTGCAGTGAGTTCTAGCAGCTGTGGCTGGGAGAGTAGGGAGGCCAGAGGAGACCTTTGACCAGGAGGAGTACGGATTGATGGACAGATAGACGGACGGACAGAGTCAGCTGAGGGCTGTGTGCTGGGTGTGAGCGCTCTGGCTGTTGGGAGTCGGCAGTTCAGTAAGGGATCCCTGGGTGGGAGGGCGCGGAGGAGTAGGCAGCACCCGCCTGTTCTCCTCCCTCTGCCCCTAGTGAGGAGCAGATAGAGCTCGGCACACTAGGGGCGCCAGGCAACCCAGGACCAGAGTGATGCAGCCCCAGACAGGCCTCTGGCCAACACCCAGGACGCCCCGAACACCTTCCTGGTCCTGCAGACGCTGGCACAACACCCTCCTCGGGACGGCAGCAGCACACCCTCCTCCTGCCGAGTCCTGAGCGGCCCTGGGGGGAGAGCAGGGCCTCGTGACGGCATGTGGGCCCCGCCAGCCAGCTATGAAGTCACGCGCTGCCCAGGACGTGGCCTGGCCCGGCCGAGGTCCGGTCCCCCAGACTGCACTTTCTCCTTACGTTCCCTCATCGTCGGAAACCAAGCTCAGTGTTCATCCCCTTAAATCTGTCTGTATCTCCACAGCAGTACTTTGCCTGTCTTTTACCGCCGTCTTCCTGCCATCTCCAAATTTTTTCTTTTTTTTGCATGAGAAGGTATGTTTTAGTCAGTTCACAAGGGAATAGATTTAGTACAGGATGCAAAATGTACAGGATTATTTTATAATATTGACCAAAGAGTCAGATGCAGAAGAGGGCAGGAAATCTGTCCACACACTAGAGACCCAAGGAATCCAGCTAAGGGCCTGGATCCCACGGCAGTGTCCTGCATGTGTCCAGCTGAAGACCTGGAGCCCATGGCAGTGCCCCCCCGCCATCCAGCTGGGGGCCCAGGGCCTACAACGTCTCATTCAAGGCTGTCTCACGGATCTGCACTGGGAAGGCCCAAAGGTCATGGTGGAAGCTAGAAAGTCTGCACCAGGGGATGGAGGATTACAGGTGTGCACTTGCACACCCAGCTTTGATCTCCTCTTCAAAGAAGAGGAATCCCAAGCTAACAGCGAGGTTGGCCTTTCAGAATGGTTGGTGATGGGGCTCTGAGGAGGCCCTGTCCCCTGGCTTCTGGGCCGGTGCCACCTGTGCCTCACCGTGCCACTCTCGGCGTTTGAGATGTGAGGTGTGGTTGGTTCCAGACCTCAGCTCCCTGGACCTCACACTCACCTGCAGAGTTCGCTATGGTTTCATTTCAGATCGTGTCCTGCTGCTCTGATCCTCTGCCCGTGTTGGGACCGAGCTGGCCTGAATCTGTGTACTGTGCCCACGGGCTTGAGTCACTGGGGACAGCATGCGGGGCAGGGACAGGCCATGTGGGAGGGAACGCGTTGATGATTTCTGCTGATGAGCACTGGCCGGGTCCTGGCCTGTCCACTCTGAACAGAGGGATGCCAGCAGGCCAGGCTGCCCTTCCAGAAGCAGCAGTGACCCACTGCGTCAGGACCCCATCTTCTCAGCAGGGCCCGTCTACACGGGAAGATGCCAGGCAGGGAGTATTGCTCCAGCTGCTGTGTGTACACTGTTGGTCATTTTTCCCAAATGGGTGATGATTACTCTGTCAAAGGACCCGACTAGCCCCTCTCATCCGCTGATCATTCTGTTTTCCTGGCTGTTGCCTCCAAGGCACCGGGCTTCCCTGACATTGGCCTGGTGGCTGGCACCTTGAATCCCAGCACTCTGGGAGGCCGAGGTAGGAGGATCACAAATTCCAGCACAGCCAGGGCAGTTTAGTGACTTAGTGAGACTCTATTTTAAAACAAAAAATGCACAGCTCTGGGGTTGTATGTAGCTCAGTAGTGTGAAGGCCTTCCTGTAATCCCTCAGTGCCGCAAAAATAATACATAGTAATAATTTCTGAAAAGGTATTTTAACCACTCCTTGTGTTGTAATTCAGGGAGTCCAGGAAGCTGGTATGAAACATTATTGCTTCACAAGCCTCTAACTGAAACTTACCAGCTACCCCCCTGTGATATAGATGACATAGCTTTCACTAGAAGGACCTAGAATTTGGTCGCTAGAATAGACACTTAGTATCAGATCATAAGCATCACAGATAACTTGAAATAGCTCTCACTAGATTGATGTTGTTTAACTGTTAGATCTTACTGATCAATATATTCATAAAGAAGTGCTTATTTCTAGGTAACTGTAAAATACTGTATAGTTGCTGTCCTTTACTCTTTGGTGTGTTTTATTTTATTCATTCATATGCATGACTGACTCCCCAGTCCCCGCATTCTGCAACAGAAAAGCAGAACTGGGAATTCAGACCCCAGAAGGGCTATGGTCAGGATAGCATCATTGCATCTTCGTGACTCTGCACTTCCTGTTTAGCTGATGTCTTTGAAGGCTGGGAGAGCCCTTCTGCTGTCCTGAGGTGTTAGTATCTTACATTGTGACTTGGTGGTTTGAGTCCCAAAGGCAAGAGAGGCACGGCCAGCGGGCTTGGGGTGGCTGGGGGACAGGGGTCACTTCTGATCACAGCCCATTGGCCAGTACTGGTCATGTGACCCCACTATATCTGCGAGGGAGCCTGGGAAGTTCCTCAGGCAGCCTCAACATCTGGTCACTAGCCAAGCGTTCAGCATTTTCCTCAGCCTTGAAGGTGCCTCGTAAATACCTATGCCCCAGGTAGTATCCTGGGCTGGGCATGGAAACGAAGCAGACCCAGAAATGAAATTTCATAAAATCCAATATGGAAGCTCATAAGTGCATGACAAGAATGAGTCTCTTATGCACATAGTTAGGAGTTTACTACCATTCGAATATAATTGAGCTCTCTTACAAGTTACGATTCTTTTCTCCCTCCTCTGCATTTTAATAAATAAGAAGTGTGATGAGCTCATTACTATCGTGGGATCTGGGAAAGAATTTAAAAGGAAAACAGTGAGCTGTGGCCGGGAGGAGGCGGCCTTGCCCTGCTGCCTCTCCACTCTGGGTCACCACCTCACCCAGCGCCACTGACGGGGTGCAGAGCCCCGGGACCTGCCCGGGGGCTGTGCCAGGGCACTCGTTTTGGTCTAGGTGCACTTCCTCTGTGTACCGATGGGCGCTTTCTAGTTTTGATACCTTCAGCAGTTAATTCCATATTGTAACTACTTTTCTGTAAGAAAATACTGTCTTGATGATTTCCAAAAATTACTTCTCACGAAAAGTTGCTCTAGCTAAATTGCTTTTACTTCTGGTGTTTTGTGGGCAAAAATACCAGACCACAATGAGCACAACGCACTGCGGAAATGCTGCCCACCAGCACCTTCTCCTGAATTGGGCTTTCCCCCTGGAAGGTGGGAAGGATGCGCCTTCTGCTTCCCTTGAAGGCTAACGGGGAGGCAGCGGCAGCAGTTTTCAGTTCTCCATCTTAGTTTTAATACAGCAAAGCCAGTCTCTTAAGAGCGTAAGAGTAGAGGGCCTCAGTCCTGGACAAGCCTGGCCTACGTCCCTTTCTGCTGGCACTGATTAAAAAAACACAGTGACTCCATAGTAGATAAAAACTGTAGACCTCAGGTGTCTTGCTGAAAGATCCTTTTTCCTTTCACGTTTCTTTTTTACAGAAATTCTCCACACAGCATGGGTACGTCATAGAAGACTTTGCTCATCAGGTTCATTTTTTTTTTGGATGTTTTCCCAGTTGTTTTCTTTTTTCAGTCTAAGAAAAAGAAGCAGTGTAGGTTTTTTTCTTGTTTTGAACAAGGAAGGCGTACGTCCATCTAATTAGGACAGGAAGCATTCCGAGGAGCTGGGGTCCCGCCGCAGGGCTGTGACCCTGCCCTGTAAGGAGCCCTTCAAGGCTGCCTTAGCTGGGCAGGTCCTCCTGAGCTAACGTGGATGTGTTGTGTTACATCCACACTTTTGCCGACAGTTGTTTACACAGAGCCGAGCAGTCCGTTCTCTGCCGCCGTGCGTGGTTCCCTTTTCAGCCTGGGCACACTGGTGCGTGCCGGACACCTAGGGGCTCAGTGTTACTCTCTTCCGGCCAGGACTTCCCTTTCCAAACACATGGGCCTACCTGCTATTGCTTACAGTCTGAGAGCACTACTTTTCCAAGTGTGTGTGTGTGTGTGTGTGTGTGTGTGTGTGTACACACGTGCAAGCATGAGTGTGGGAGCACGTGGGTATTTTGTTTGCGAAGAAATCTTTCTGATTGCATTACAACCTTTGTTTCAACATTCCTGTGCGTTGAGAACATTCCGGGTTCAGTCTTCCTGGCCCGTGACAAAATTCGGGTGAAATAGCACAGATGAGGCTGAGAGTGGCTGAAGCCGAAGAATGGGAATAAAGTTCACTGCAGTTCAACCCACTCACTCTCTAGGGCCGTTTCCCACCCCAGCCACAGCCTCGCCGCTGACCGCTGCACGGTGGGAGCCGCGCTGGAGACGCCCCGGGTTCCTGCGCGGATCAGCGTGCCTCTCTGTCCCGTTCGGGGTGCGCTGATCGCCCTGTCTTCCCTGGTGTTGGTGGGAAACTTGGTCAAAAGGGGTAATTACTTTTTTATTTAGTCGCATGCTCTTCAAAAGGCCACCGCAAGTATTCATTAATTTCCATCTGATAAAGCGGAACTTTTTTTTCCTGTGGCTGAACAGTTGAAACCGGAAATGACCCAAGACACTGTTCCCATGACACCCTGTTGCCTGGATCCGGTGCTCCTCCAGATGAAAGGCCCGAGCCGGCTTTTGATAGTGAGTAACTAATTGGGCTGGCTGATAGTGGGAGTTTTTTAATGTGAAAAATAAAGGAGAAAAAACTGGAACAGCTGTGTTTGGGTACAGTTGTCTAATCCCCAGATAAAACACTCCAAGGACATTGAAATTGAATAGTGCCTTTGGCTGAGGGGGAAAATCTAAAATCTGTCAAAGCACCGGCTTATTTTAGAGAAAATACGAATATGTTTACACGAAAAACAGAGCAATAAAAGAAAAACAAAAACTGTTAGAGAGCCAGGATACTAAGTGATGCCTTTTAGGAGAGACCTTTGTTCGCGGAAAGCATGGTTTTGCGTTTTGAAGGTGTGTGCTTGCCTTTGAGAAGGGAGACTGCTTCTGGGTCCCTCTTGGGGTCCACATTTTCAAATGTTTCTGTGTAGTTGTGGGTCGAGGCGATGGGTTTTGTTGGGAGAACCACACCTGCCTGTAACTGAGCTTCAACAAATTGAGAAGGTCAGTCAGAAGAGACTTTATCAACAGTCCTCCCATAGACGGAATTTCAAGCCGCAGTTGTCTCTTTTGCAACTAAAGGGTTTCTCTCTGGAGAATTACACGTGAATGAACCTGGGTTTGTTAGATGAATAGGTTCTGTGTCCCATGTACCATACTGTGGGAAAGATCTTTGACTGGGAAACTTGTGTTTTATTTTGTTTTCTGAGATGGGTTCTCCACTGTGTAGCCCAGGTTGGCCTTGAACTCTGGCAATCCTCCTGCCTCAGCCTACTGAGTGAGGGGTTATAGGCATACGCCATCATGCCCCGTGAGACCAGTTCTGATTACCGGCCTTGCGAGCTATCCGTCCACCCAGTGACCTGAACCTCTGCGACTGTCCCTTTCTCTTGGAAGTGAAGAGGCTGGAGTTGGCCGTTCCAGCTCGGTCACTCCGCACGCTGTAGAAGCGCAGGCCAGTCTTCAACGGTGCCTCATGCCGCTGAGCACAAGGGACGGGCGTGTATAAAAGTTCAGAATTTTAAATCGGAGAAACCCCTGCTGTAGCTGGAGGGAGAGCCAGGTACTGTCACGGAGACCCGTGTGCACTGCCCCTGCGCTCACGTCCCCCGGGGCTCTGGAGCGCACGGTCTCTGACATAATCGCTTCCCAGGAAGCGCAGCCTCGCCTCGCGGCGCTGCCGAGTCCGCGCGGTCGTTCTGCATCTCCTGGACTCCTTCCCCGTGGGGTCGGTTCCTCCATTCTGTACCCGCGAGCGCCCACGGCTTCGCCTTGCCTCCCTCCTCGGAAGGACCGAGCCCCGTGTGGCCAGCGAGGCCCTGCTGTGTGGGCCGGGGTGTGCAGGGAACGTGACCGTGTCCCTGCGGTCCCCGGGCTCAGCTTAGCCTTCGTCCTGCGGACAGGGCTCCAGGGTGCATGCAGACCGAGCCCTCGGTTTCACTCCGCGCTCCAAAGAGCACCTCCTGTGGGTCAGATCTCCCCTGCTTGCGTCTCCGGGCGGAGGCTGGCGCGGCCTTCTCTTCCCACGCAGGGTTAGGCCGAGGACAGTCACGAGAGCTTCTGCCTTCTGAGGGTGGAGAGGGACACGGGGACCAGGGACGGCGGGCAGCCAGGGCCTCCGTGCCGCGAGACCCTGGCCTGCTGCCTGGTCCGGGGTGCCAGGGTCCCTGGTCTAAAGAGGCCCCGCCTCCCGGCCGCGGCCAGGCCCTATTGGGCGCTCGCACCCGGCCTGGCCCCATCGTGGCCACGCCCACCCTTACCTTATTGTGGCCACGCCCTTTGTGGCCACGCCCACCTGCCCTATCCTGGCCACGCCCACCCGTGCCCTGTCCTGCCCACCCCCTTCATGACCACACCCTCTGAGTGGTGCAAAATACAATGGCGAGTGCGGACCCTGCGGTGTCACCAGTGTGGGGGCTCCAGGGCTCCCCGAGGGCAGTGTCTCGGATTCTTCTGTTGTGGGTATCACCTGCCACTCGGTCATGTCACCAACAGGTGGGTGCTTAGCACCATGCGGGGCTCCAGGAGTAAAAACAAAATCAGAATACCTGATGGACTGCAGACCTCTAGTGGGTAGTACGGTGTGCTTACTGAGCCTTTGCTAAGTGCTAAATACTTTTTTTCTTGTTGAGATAGCTCTAACTTTTCCCAGCTAGTGTGAGGCTGGAAATCCTACCGCCTCAGCCTCCCGAATGCTGGGATTACTGGCCACCATGCCTGGCTTGGTATTAATTTGTAATCTTCACAGCCGTGCTTGGAGGCAGATAAAAAGATTCAGCCTCTAGTTTCGATTAGTGAATGGAAGCACCAGCATTTAAACCCTGCATATTGACCACGAGCCCAAAGAACAGCAGAGTAATGTTCCACAGGCTGAAACCCGCTGTCCAGCTGTCGGGCCGGGCTTCACACAGCTCCTGGGCATCGCTTTGCCGAATGTCCTCAAGCACAACGCCTTCGAGTCAGTCACACTCAGAGAGCATGGAAGGCGGGGAGCAAGGGGCATCCTCAGCACCTCTGCCTCCCAGGGTGCCTGGGAGTGGGGAGGGGGCTGTCCTGAGGGGCAGGGACTTCTCAGCTGACCTTGCCGTGTTCGGTGTGAGGGTTTTATTTCCACCCAGACACACGGACTGTTTATAGGAGGCGCTCAGCAATGCCTAGGTAGGATTTGGGCTTGACTTCCCTGCACGCACCCCTTGAGCTGCCTGCTCTTTGTGGAAGTGGCTTTCCTCACCGCAGCGTGGAAGGCACCGTTCTAAAGAGGTTAGGACCACGGGCGGTTTAATGAAGAACTGGAGGCCAGCTCCTGCGCCAGGACTCAGCGAACCCGGGAAGGCAGAGTTGGTCAGAGCCCCCGCTTCTCTGTGAGCTTGGAGCCTGGGAGTAGGGAGTGGTGGTGCTCGGTTCCTACACTGAGCTCTGAAGGTTCCTGCTGCATTCTCAGGGGACCCAGACAAGGCTGTGGTCGACCCCACAGGGGCTCCTGCGTTCCTTCTGCTCTGCTCCATGCCAGGAACACGGTGAAGCCGCTTCTGCCTGCCCTACTGGATTGTGAGTTCCTTATAGGGCCTGGGCTGCCCAAGCACCTTTGCTTTGTCCTTGAGTTTGGGGCCAACTTGTGTCTATAGCAGATGCTGACTGGCTTTTTCAAAATAATTTTATTTTTATTAGTACACATTTGCAATCCACGGTGACTACATTCCCTATCCGTGACTTGGGTTTACCCTTTTTGATGCCAGAGTAGTACTCCATCACATAGAAGCACATTTCCCTTATCCATTCACGTGTTCGTGGACACAGGCTGCTTCCAAAGTGCATCTGTGTTAGTTGTGTGGCTGTAAACACGGGTGTGCATGGATGAGCTGACTGAGTGGAGCTCACGGGCTGCTTTGCTTTCCAGCATGTCAGGAAGGCCGTGTGGAGGAAAGGCTGCACGGAGACCTGCAGTGTCTGGGGACGTCCTGGGGGTTGGACAAACTTGTTCTTATCTTTGAGATGGAGACAGGGACCCGAGGAACTGCGGAGGCGGCTCGTGTCAGAGAAAGTCCAGTGTGGACCAGGCCAGTGGCAGAGACAGGGGAGTCCCGGGAGCCCCGGCGGGCTGAAGGCCTGGCCTTCCTGAAGCTCTGCCCAGCAGGGCCCACTCTCTGCTACCCCGTCCCTGAGTGTGGCCTCACAGCAACGGCCCTGCGGGCACAGGCGCTAACATCGGGACTGCCCCTGAAAGGCGGTTTCATCGCTGGTCACAGACACCTGCGGCTCCCGTAGCTGTGGCCCCCGCTGGGCCGCGCTGGGTGACACCGGGTCTGTCCCGTGGCGCCCCGCCGACGTCGCCCCTGGAGAAGGCCTCGGACTCTGTTTCCCTTGTGCCCCCCCTCTCTCCTCCCTGCGTCCGGTCTCTCCTCCTCCCTTCTCCCCCTTTTCATCCATCCCGGTCTGTTTTTCTCCTGCTACTCGCATATAAGCACAGAGAAAAAGGTCTTTCTTCTACTTAAGAATTTTCTCACTAGGGTTACTAGGGTTTTCTCCTAGGGTTACTAGGAGGCCAGGGAGCAGGGCATCCCGGAAGGGCTCGGACACTCCCCCGGGGCTGGGACTCAGCCAGAGTCTGCTTCTCCCATCTGTTCCTCTGCAGGGAGCAGCTCTCCGTTCTCGTCTCTGGTCACTGTCTCTTAGACCTGTCCCCTCCCAAGCCCTGTCCCCACCTCCGCCTCTCCGCCTCGGCCGTGCAGCTTTCCTGTCCCTGGTGCCGCCCTACTGCAGCCTGGAGCTCGTCTCCTTTGAGGAGTCTCCAGACTGGGCACTCCCAGGGTCACCGGCCCGGCCCTGCAGAGCTGGGCGCCTGTGAAGCAAGCCCCAGCCGCGTGGAACCGCTGAAAGAACCCGCCTCTGATCATTTCTTTGGCTCCAGCCACTTGTTATTAAAAAGGTAGATTAGAATCAATTAAAGATGAACAGCTTTTCGTTCCTTTCTCTTTCTTGGCTTAATGCAAAATGAGTAGGAAGAATGGGGGTCTTAGAGTAAAACGCTGAAGTTATTCAGTGGGTTTATGAAGCTTTATTTTTCTTTGGCTGTGAAATCAGCCCTAGGAGGATTTTTTTTGGGGGGGTGCGTCTTTTTGAGACAGGGTCTCGCAATGCAGTTCGGGCTGGCCTTGAGCTCACTTTGTAGCCCAGGCTGGTCTCGATCTCACAACGATCCCCTAGGAGGCTTTTTAAAGTAGAGGTGTTTTATTTAAATCTCCAAGAATAGAAGAAAAAAAAGCCCACTACAGTGTTATATATAAATTGAAATTAAAACTATGGTGACTTCTGTGGCATTTTTTGAACCCTGACACGTGATGCTGATTTCAATGTTTGTGATGTTAAGCCTCGGGGTTTATTATTAGTGTGATTAATCTCAGACACAGCAGAGACGATGATTCTCAGCGGGTGTTCACTCAATATTCTTAGATACATTTTTACTTGCACAGCAGCTGTTTGGCTTTTCAATTCAAGATTGTGAAGAAGGGATAATTTTTTTATATTGA